CAGGAACCTAGACCCCTCTCCAACATGTATACCCCCTCGTTCAGTATGCGAGCAGGTCATCTTGGGCTTTCCAGGGTTTAAAAAAGGAACAAGCTTTTGGTGTTCACTTGGCTTCCCGTTGGGCGGAAGCTTATTACCCCAGAAATTAGGAAGGCAAGGGTTGTCGTTGGCAGGAAGCGTGGGCTTCAAATGCCTTGCTTGAGAAGGTTTTGTTTTTTAATGGTTCGAATCGCCGGATCGGTCCTTGAGCTGCTTTGGGACTCTTGGTCCGCTCGGGACAGGGCTTCGGGTACTCAAACATCTGCCGAAATATGCTTCGTTCTAGGCCTGACAAGCGTCACCAGCCCGAGATACTCGAATCTTGTGGATGAGAACAGGTCGATTTGATTTCTAGCCGACCTCAGATTACCTACCAAAATTCCGGCGTGGAAGTCGCTGTTACAGATTGTCGCGAGCAAACGGTGCCCATGGCTCCCTCTTGTTCGAATGACCCAGCTGTGGTGTCCATCAGGTAGGTCCTTTGCGAGCTGTCAATTGTTGATCAGTGGCACCAGGGGTAACAGGTCAGCGATGTTTGTGGTAATCCCCCTGAGCAAGGGGAATGAGCTGTTAATGTTAGCGTCCTCAACAGAAGTAGGCGGTAAATATGGTCAGTTGTTGTTAGTAAAACAATCTTGGTAACCTCCCGCTCACACTGACACTGAGCTATCTCAATCATGTCTTCCTCTCGTAACTTCAACCTATCTCGGATCATTTCCGAAAATGCACTGCCACCATCACCGAAAACGAACATCTGATTTTCGTCTCAAAAGCCAGCATTTAACGGCCACACCATCATAGGATAAGAGATCTTACCAGGCACCTGCTCCAAATTGAACGGCTCATACGAAGTCTGCGCGCACATGACTGAGTTTTTTTTTTTTTTTTTTTTTTTTTTTTTTAAACCTCCCGTTTTCCTCCTTCTTGGTGCCATTCACAGCTTCAGTCAAGTAGCTCCTCCAACGACCGACACCACCCAACCCTCTCGTCATCTGTCATATATTCCCGTCCCTTTTTCATAACCACATCCAAGTTTCTTGACATTTTTAGCCTTACCAGACCATGAAAGATCCGAGCGAAGCACGATAGTTCTTCAAGCCTCTTCTGGTCCAGATGCATCTATCTCCACCTGTACCTGGCCTTTCAGCCCTGTTGGGCGCCGCAAAAGAACCCTTTGCCAGATCCTTCTCTTTGCAATCGATGCATAATCTCATCCCGCGAAGCTCCGCCCTGCACTTAGCGGCGGAACATACGTAGCTCTTCCCATGCTTCGGCCTTCTTGACGTTACTGTTTTTGTTGTCATCGGCGTTATTGAAGTCCACAGCTCGGCGCCATGCTGTTTGACTGTGGCTACTTAGGTAGCAGGACGTGATCAGTTTTTGAAGTATGGAGAGTAAGTTGCTAGTAGACGACCTCTTGTAACAGATAACATGAAGTGATCCGGAGACCGAGCGAAGAAAGGTAGAGTTCAAGTTTCTAGTTAACCACCACTTATGAGAGCAATCACCATCGTCTGAAAAGATGCGCAAGCAATCATCAACTAAACCTGCGGCAGGTCGGCGTTTGGATAGAATCTAGCAATCATTACCATTATCATCCTGATTACTGCTTTCACTAAACTTCTATCCTTTGACCACGCTTTCCATTGGTTTTATCAGCTCGGGATGGCCCGCACACAGCATGCGAGCCTGCTCGAAGCATACAAAGAACCGAAAGCTGAGTCCCTATACGGCGTGGTGGCGTGCATGTTGGGCCAACACAGCACACCATGTCGTCGAGCCAGAGTAATGACGAATGCCATCACCATCTTAAATGCTATTGATACTGGCCTGTATGGAGGTGGGTGCTGTGTCAGCCAGCATATCGTGTGACCAACAGGCCGAGCACACTAGTGGTAAAGCCAAGTCACCGTGAACCCTTTGCACCGTAGAACGTATCGTTTTCCCAAGGTAAGCTCGGCCGATAGTTATATCTAGCCTCCCCGGCTAGATCCAAAGTTTCTCCACCGTAGCAGTCAGGAAACCAGAGCCAACGTCAGGTGGGTCGAGTATATCGACCTCTCTGCAAAAGCCCGTTCGAGGTACCGTCTATCATTGATTGATACATGTCAGTCAAATGGTTCTGGAGCTCAGGGACTTCCAGCTTATTGCTGCAGTCCCAGACAATATCCTCAACAAGACCGCCTCCCGGTATATGGTAGGCGGGTTGCAATAAGCGGCTGAAAGATGTGATTGGGTCGCAGAGGGCACAGTCACACTGCAGGGAACGCTGTCATCGTCGGCTACCAAATCGCGAGAGCTGTTGCAGTGGGTGCGGGGGAGTCGGCGGTTGCTACCAACCAACTGGAGAAGAAGATAGCACCTTCGAATCGTAGCATATGAACACGGCAGAAGCAAATCCTGTCTTAAAAAAACAGCTCATGCTCCATGTCCAAGGCATCGAAAAATCGGTTCGCTCAGCAACCGGGGCTTCTGCCAAAGAATTGCCCCTTGGATGTGATCCGCGCATTGGGTTTATTGCTCCCAGCTCATGGAAAGCAGCAGATCGCAGAGATTGCTACTGGTGTTTCCCCGGATCACACACGGAGCTGGTTTGAGATTTTCCTGTTTGCTCACTGTGCGGGAGCCGGACGTCCCCTAGGTTTCTCTCTCTTGCGTATAGCCTCCAGGTCAACATTCTTCGGGACCTTCATATTGCCCCTCGAAGCAAGCCATAGGACATGCTCTGGATGGAACAGATTCGCCGCATTGACGTTGCCGAGCCCAGCGGCAGCAAGCGGTCTGTCTTCGTCCTCGTCCTCGTCTTCGTCTTCTTCCTCGCTGTCCTCCTCCTCAAGCGATCGCTTCAAACCGGTGCGTACATTCTCAATGCCCATCTCGCGCTCGGCGATCGTATAGGGCTCGTTCGCTTGGTTCATGAGGTAATCCCTGATGCTGTCCATGCTGACCTGAAACATATCGGCCCACTGTTCGTTAAACGGGTCCGAGGGCGCGTCCTCCTCTTCGTCTCGGTAGTCGTCGTCGTCATCGTCGTAGTCGTTGCTCCTCTGTTGGGCGCTGGCCAGTTTGCTCGGGTCCAAACCAGAGGCCCTTGCTACACTACGCGCATCTTCGACCCAGCTCTCGACTTCCGGCTCGAGTTTCTTTCTGAGTAGTTGCAGAAGGATGTGTTCCTGAGTGCGCCCAGGGAAGTTTGTCGATGGGTGGACGACGATGCGTTGGAACAAGTCGGAGTTTTCGTCTGCGAGCTTTTGGATAGTTTCGAGACTCTTTTGGAGAATGGCTGCTGAGGCTGTGAGGGACTCCCTGTGGAAGAACAGATCCGTATAAGAACGCGGCCAGTCTCGAGGAAGAAAGATGTAGGAGGGGGGACAGAGCAACGACTTACTGGCTTGGGAGAGGCTGGCTTCGCTGGATATCATTAAACAGGCTGTTCAAACTGTGAGTGAGCTGATGGAATCGGTTTCGGAGAACCTCGAGCTGCTTGAATTCATCAGGAGCTAGACGGAGGGAATCTTTGCCGTCGGCCATGTTGTTGAACGAGTTTTTGGAGGGGTAGAGTGAGTAAATTATGTTGCGCTTCGTCAATACAAAGCTATTGGATATCTCCGTGAGTATTATCTCGTACAAATATGCCTTGGGTCCGGGAGGTCGGGTCGCAAGGGATTCACTGCAATGTAAAGAGAACGAAGCGTTTAGAAGGTAAAAGTTCCGTCAAACAACAGTCAGGACGGAAGCTACAGTGATGTTGGATGTTTTGGTGCAGCCCCACTATTCTACAGCCCCACTGCACAATCGCTAACACGAAAGCCGCACGAGCTGCACACTAGTGTAAACTTAAAGCAAGCGACCCCTGACCCCCAGCTTGGCGGTTACGGCAGGGTCTAGAATCCCATGAATGGCAGATGCTTGGTATCAATCGATTCCGTTCTTTCTGACATCCCTCAACAACAGCTACAACCTAGAGGTAAAGCCAATGAAGAAATGAATCCATCAGCGAGCTAAAGGGAAGAAAAGACTTGCCTGGCAAAACCGGCAAGAGCAAAACAACAGATGACATGCGCCGAAGATCCCAAGCTTGCGGTACCATCCGGTTCAGTTCAGAGCAGAGCGGGTTGCAGGGCCGTTCTTATCACTCGATTTGTGACTTGAAATCCCTAGAAAACTTCTGTTCGAAGACCGACTCTGGAGGCAAGCTCGTTCAAGTGCAGTATCTACCACTGAGTTAAGACTCGGTTCAATTTCCGGACCGTGCAAGTGTTTTCCCTTTTTCTTCTTCTTCTTCTTTTCCTTAAATTTTTTTTTTTTTTTTTTTAATTTTTTTTTTTTTTCTATCTTCTCCTCTGCTTCTTTCTTGGTCTTTCTGTAATAATAAGTTGTTATCAGTTTTCTGTGTTCCGTGAGTAGAGGCCAATTCCTTCCACACCGTGGTCTGGAATTCCGAATACCTGGCGCACGAAGTACAGCAAGCAAAACAGATATCCAACAAATGTGCCGTGAATTGAGCCAAGTTCTTGTGGTGTAGAAATGCAGAGATTTGGTTGGGATCGTAAGTCGATTGGCATACCTCTACTGTCAGTGCTTGGAGCTTGAACTTGGAGATACGTAACATGAAAAGTACACCGATTATGGTTGACTTGTCGTAGGTACATGACAGGAAATTCATATCCAATTGAATGCTACTGTATCATCGTTATCCACGTTTATTGATAACCAAAATAAACTAAAAAAAAAAAAAAAAAAAAAAAAAAAAAAAAAAAAAAAAAAAAAAAAAAAGGAGAGCGCTTTGTGCTGATGCTTGCTCGCCGTTCGCTAATGCCCGTCGCTAATGCCCGTCGCTGATGCCAAGCCAGGGTATCTACTATCTTGTCATCGTGAACCAGTGAACCACTGATCGTCCCAAAAGAAACGCCCATCATATGTCTTCAACGCCATTTTATCTTCCGGTACCATCAAGTTTATCACTCTTCATGGGAGCCTGCTTGGTGAACTTTGATGGGCGCCCCCTTGGGTAGCTCATTGCCGTTGGCGTCGACAGGCGGAAAGCGAGCCATACGCTCAAGATCGTCGAGGGGCATATGTGAACGGATGTATCTATAATTACGTGTGTCAGTATATCATTGCGAAGTGAGGGAGGGTGACAAGGGTTTTACTGACTTCTCCCGGCCGTCCTCGATCGGATTGAAGTCCCATTTCTCGCTCTGTGAGTCCTTCGCCGTAAAGGCGCTCCACACAAATCTGCGTTTCCTCTGCGAGAGAAGGACTTGCTCGGTGATACTTTCAAAGTCCCAGCGCACTCTCGCCTCAGCCTCAAACCCTCTCAAAATGATTTCCGCCGTCTCTCTATATTCGGGATCGAGCATCTCTGCCTTTGGCCCCGCAAGAACCTTGGCGAGGTCCTCAAGTTCAAGCGGATCCCTTCCTAGATCAAACAGCTGAACGCCGTCCGCGGGGCAGATGATGAACTTCCAGTTGCCGCGTTTGATCATCATGATTGGGCTGACGGTGCCCTCGCCCGTATATTCGGCGATGACGGTATCGTGCCCTTCTGCGTCGCGTCCTTCCAGGAACGGAAGAAGGGATTTGCCGTCCATCGGCAGGCCAGGAACCAGCTTCGTGCCGATCAAATCGACCATGGTCGGCAGAATGTCCAAGGTGGACACGTTCTGGGTCACACGATGAGGCGTGTACTTTTTGGGATAAGAAATCAGAAGAGGGACACGAACGGATGATTCGAAGTAGCTCATTTTGTACCTGCAGTCAGGAAAACGTGGATTAGCGACAGACCCGGGGGAAGTACAAAATCCAGATCGAGTAGCAAAACGTACCAGAGTCCGCGCTCACCAAGCATGTCTCCGTGGTCGCCACTGAAGACGATGATGGTGTCGTCGGCAAGTCTGCACTTCTCCAAGACCTTGAGCAGCTTGCCAACACAGTCATCAACATAGCTGACAGCGCCATAGTAGGCCCTGCGTGCGCGCTTGATCTGATCATCCGTAAAGTTCTTGTCCCACAAGTCGCAGACCTTGAGCAGTCTCTTGCTATGGGGATCCTGCTCCTCGTTCGGAATTCTGGGAACCTTGGGGAGATCAATTTCCACTTCCTTGTACTTATCCCAATACTCGTCTTCGATGGTGTAGGGATCGTGAGGGTGAGTAAGGGAAACCTATGGCGTGATTTTGTTAGCAAAGTTCAACCTTCCTTTCTCGCCGTCGGTCAACCAGTTATGGGTACACCATGACCCTTCCTCCCCCTCGCTAAAGATACAGCATCCGCAGCCCTGTTCGGCTGAGAAGATGACAAGAAAGGCCAGTACGTACCGTCAAACAGAACGGGCGCCTCGACTCTCCGCTGCGAGCGTAGTCATGAAGAAACTGCGTTGACTTGTACATAACCTCCTCGTCGTAATCAAGCTGGTTGCTGCGAACACAAGCACCAGCCTGTTCGATGGAGCTCGCATTGTGATACCATTCTAGCCTTTGCTCGGGCCTCTCAATATCCGCATCCCAGTTGGCTGCCCAGCCGAAGTCGCCGGGATAGATGTCAGTGGTTAGACGCTTCTCGTACCCATGCTTCTGGTCCATCACGAAGTGCATCTTTCCAGCCAAAACCGTTTGGTAGCCATCACGTCGGAGGTAGTGGGCGTAAGTAGGGATATCGCTCAAAATCTGGGCCGCATTGTCATACGCTCCGATCTTCATGGGGAGCTGTCCCGTGATCATGCTCATCCTTGAAGGGCCGCAGAGCGGCGACGGGCAGTATGCCGAGTCAAACTGGACGGATTTTGCGGCCAGAGCATCAATATTGGGCGTCTGAACAATGGATTCCGGGTTGTAGATTTTCATCACAGGCGCGGCGAGCTGATCTGCCATGATGTATAGGATGTTCAGCTGCTTCTCCTTGTCCTGCCCGGGAGCGATCCCGTTGCCGTTGGCATAGCCATTGCCGTTGGTATGGCCATTACCGTTGGCATAGCCATTGCCGTTGGTATAGCCATTGCCGTTGGTATGGCCATTGCCATTGGTAAAACCATTCACGGGCGTAAGCTCCGGAGAGGCCGGTTGAGAGTTGAGAGCTGCCGGCATGGTCGTCTGTCGTCAAGAACGGGGGGTTTCGGCTAATAGTAGATAAGGTGAGGTGAAGGATAAATTCCTCAATGAGGTGGGCGAGATAACTAAGGCCGATCAGAGAGGCTTGAGCAGAACAGAGAGAAGTCGGACACTCCGCTTATAAGGGAAGCTGGGGAAGCCGACCTGGGGTCAGAATCCGGGGTAGCGGGTTGAGCTTGAGGTGTGATCAACCAGTTCGACGAGGGAGGAGATGGTGGATGATATCGACGTCTGAGACCAGGCCAATGGCGGATGTGATTTGGAGGTGAGCACGTCAGAACGTAAGAAAATCGGGGCTGGCTTTGAGCACGCAATCGCTCAAGCGCATACACAGCCTTTATGTCGAGCAATTGCGCAATCGAGAGACAAGATGAAAGGCACTTTTAGCACTGCACGAGGCACTGCACGCCATTTTATCATCGCAACTCTTTATCCCTCTCTTATCCCATCAACGGACAACCGGCTTTCCGCGAAGGGTTGCACCGCATACCGACTGGACCCTGATCCTCACCGGGATTCCGTCGTGCGAACGGGCATTGACATGTTCCACTTGTGTAGGACATCGGCATCAACATCCCGGAACAATGAGCACAACCCAACGGAGAAGCGCTTGAGGCGGGTACAGAAGGGGAGAGAGGTGCCAAAGTTGACTAGCGGAGTGTGTGCAAATTTTGGGTGGGCACAGGATAGCGCGACCGAGACCGCCGCAGACCTGAGTGCATAAAGCGCAACCAACGACTTCCCTGGTCGCGTGAATACAATGCAGATGGAACTGCCGGAGGATCTGTGTGAATCCGCGGAGCCGTTGAGCAGGGAAGTGAAAGGATTCTACTAGTATGAATAGTGGCGCATAAAGGCGTGATGGAGATTGTCCAGATTCCAGAACACTTGCTCGAAGATAAACTCAACAGGTAGATCCCGGGAACTTGCCGAGGGGAAAAGCTCCGTGAGGATTTGTCCATCAAAGATATGATTGTGGGATGCTACTGTACGAAGCAACATAATTCCTGTTTGTTGCATGTGAACATGAATTATGCGAGCGTCAGAGCGGCAAACGATTCAGTTGACAGGGGCAACTTTGAGTCTCCCCCCTTCACCATCGATATTGATATGCATATTAGCTGAAGACATTGATAAGGGTTGGGGTAATTTGCTGAACAATACATAGTAGAGGCTAAGGCCAATACGTAAGAGGTATCAATTGGTTCCGAAGAAAGACTTCGAAACGCAAGCCACTTATATTATCTTTCCATTGTCTTTTTCACGTCGTGGTAAATAGGGCATAATTTACCTTTTTCTTCTTTTTCCCTTATCTTGTTGCAGCGTGTTTCTGCAAGGACCAAAGGTTGGTTGGGCTAGAGCGATTGGGCTAGAGCGATTGGCCATTCTTACTGGAGGGTCGAATAGTCTTTCTGTTGACAGCTGAGTGGGAAGGCCGAATCTCGACAACAGGATGGTTGAGAGCCTCTGAGCAGCTTGGTTGGTTCATTCATTTTTTTTTTTTTTTTTTTACGTCTGAACAGTCACGGTCATTGCCATCTCAACATTTGCTAAATTCGTGGTCATGTGTCACTTCTGAAGCCTAGACTTAGGACCAAGATTAAGTCTGGAACGGTCTTTCGATGAACCAGCGCTAGTGTCTGTGATTACTGCAAGCTATCGGACCAGGACAATAGTTTGCTTTGAAGACGCTAAACCATTCAAACGCCTTTCAGCATCCGTGAACGCAGTATCACTCACACATTGCCAAAGGCTCCTGGCTAACGCTTCTGTAGCATTTGTACGCAGGACGAAAAGTCAGCTGACACCAAAGGTTCATCGGAAGCTCATGTATTCCAAATATTGATATACCAAAAAAAACAAAAGCAAGTAACTAGAAATACCCCCCACAATATCACTCTCGGACTAGCCCAGCCAGAAAGAGAACACACGCTGGTCCGTCTAACCGCGGCGACGGGTCGTGGGACCTTTGCTCTTCGCTCTCGGCTCGGAGGAGGTGGACGCGCCAGTAGCGGTAGCCGACGACGTCGCAGCAGGAATTGGGCCCGCAGGCACCTTCTGCTTGCCCCGTGCCTTGGCCGAGGGCGCGTTCCAGTAGTATACCATCTGCAGAGCGAGAACCAAGTTCAGCGCGAAACCGGCAATAAACCCGTACAAAATGAGCTTGTCGTCGACCTCTTGAAGAGTGGTAAAGATGCGCGAGAGGGATCCGGCGAGGTAGTTGAAGACCTGGGAGGAACAAGAAACACAGCGTCAGTAGCAAGCAACTTGAAGAGAAGCACAAGGAGAGATGTAATCGGGATTGAGGGTGAGGATGTCCTTACAGCAAATGCACTGAGCTGTCCCGTTCCACCTTCCTGCAGAATAGCCAAGATCTGGGGAACCTTGCTGGCGACACCCAGCACTCCAGCGCCGGCCTGGAGGTAGCTCAACTGCTGCATGTTGAGAAGCTGCTCGCTGAAAAAAGTAGCAACGCCGACTGCCAGTGCCGCGACGAACAAGGCCGCGATGCCAGCCCTGCCGCTGTATTTGAGCACGAGCACGGAGATGATGACGTTTTGACCGAGGATCAGGGCCGTCTCGCCAAAGGTGCTGAAGGGGAATCCATTTCGAACATTGTATGCGAGCGAGGTAAGCAAGCTGCTGGTCTCGAGGAGATACGAGAGGAAAGAAACGCCGCTGGCCGATTTCGAGTTGACAAGCTTGAGGATCTGGGGCACCTTGACGATGGAGGAGGCAGCGACGATGCCAATGCCGAGGGCCTTACTGATGGCGAGCTTAAGACATTCAGGGTTGTGTTCGAGGTCGATGTCGAGTATCAGCTTCTTGTAACACGAGTCTCCGATGAGGGAGAGGCCGATGTCCCGGATCGGACCCGGAAGGTTGTGGGTGACGGGCTGCAAAGCCGACCGAAGCGCGTCCATTTTGCCGGTTATTTGTGAAGATACGCGCGTGGGGGCGAGACCTATCGTTGGAAACGGATTGACACGAGGATGAATCGGTGTGACCGCAGTTTCGGCTCCCACAACGAACTGGGATGTATCAAAGTATGACTGTTTATAATCAAGTCGCGGGTCCAGAGAATACTTCAAAAGGTAAGCCACGAAAGGACAACTATCGGAGGTCTCGATACCGTGGCCCGTGCCGTGCCGGCAGAGTTGGTTTGCCGGCGGGCAACTCACACGTGCGGCAGTGGCTATAATGCATCCAATGGTATGATAGTACAGTAGTGTACTATGTACCTACATTTTGTGAGATGCCTTACCTACCCTGACCACAGAGCCACAGCATCAGCTTCCACTTAAAACTGGACATTTCGTCCATGAACCTCACTCCCTCACTTCTTCATGGTCAAGTTTCTCACAAAGATAGTCTTTGAAGCAAAGATGGGTAAATTCCATTAGCATTCCTCCATGTCCGCTATTTTCTTCGTGTGCCGAAGCAGACTGTTCTCCTCCTCCGGGCATGCCTTGGCGGGTATTTTGGCGTCGCTAATATCATCCCCGTAATGTGCCACCGAAGATGTCGAAATAACATAAAGCAGCCTACGAATTCCCGAATACATATACAGATGGAGTGAAAGTAGTAACCAGCCGGCCGCCCATCCCAAGTTCCTTTGCGCAACCACTGGCTGCTCCTTCGCGCGCTCTCCGAATGAAGCGTTAAATGCCCGAGGCACCCAATCAATGGTGCTCAAAGCAGAGGAACGTTTAGCCAAGTGGTTGCGCTTGGTGCATAGAGATTAAAAACCAGAGTACCTCTGATTAGCCCCTGAATTGTGTTGATGATCCCTAGGCCGATTTCGTCCTGCTCGAAACGCGTGTGCCTGCCCTAGGTGCCTTCACCTCTTTCGTCTTCTTGGCGGCTTTGGCAGGAGCCTTGGTTTCCTTCGCGCTCTTGGCGTCCTTGGTAGCCTTTGGTGGTCTACCGGGTCTTCCTCTGGGCTTCGCCTGTTGCTTCTCAGCGGGCTTGGCCTTGAGGGCCTTGGGGCCCTTCTCCGTCTTCTTATCCGCCTTGTCAGCCATGTCCGCCTCCTGAGCCTTACGGGAGGTCTTTGCCTTCTTGGCTTTCTTCTCGGAAGCCTCCTCGGACTTCTTGGCCTTTTGGTCGGCATTGAATTTGCGCAATAGCTCAGTAGCACCTTGGAGATTTTGCTTAGGCTCCCAGGTGTTGTCACTGTCCGGGTAACCCTTCCACTTCACAAAGTACACGTGCTCCATCGTCTCGGCATCAATCATCGAGTTAATGATGGCCTCGACCTCGTATTCTCCCTTAGGAACGACATCAGAAGCGGCATCCTTCTTGGGGCGACCAGCCTTGCCCTTGGACTTCTCTTTGCTCTGTTCGACTGGTTAGAATAAACATGTCGCTATGGCTAATGATTATGAACTTACAGCTGTGCCATTGGTGGATGCGGGACGACCGGGACCCTTCTTTTTGGCAGCCTTGGCGGCAAGACGAGCGCTAGGAGCGGCGGCGGGTTTGCGACCACGCTTTGCAGGAGTGACATCCTTTACTTCCTCCTCCCTTTCCGAGTCGGGTTCCTCGATCTCCACGGCCTTGCGCTTGCGCCCGCTGCTCTTCTCAGTGCTTTTCAGGGAACTCTTGGGCGTGCGGGAGCTCGTGCTCTTTGCTGACTTGGGGGTTTTCGAAGCAGACTGTGCGGGTGTCGCTGAGAGAGACCGGGATGGCATGGCACGCTTGCTTGTTTCACCCTCCATACCGGCAACAGGGGCGTTCAGCTCTAGCTTATCATCCATAGTGACAACGGTGACACCGGCGGGTACAGGCTGGCTAGGTGCGATATCTTCGGAGATTTGACGTGGCTCGTTGTACTCACTGGCAGCTTGGTTAGCTGGCAAAGTTCTGTGAGGAGGTGAATCGCAACGAAGTAAGTTGACGGAAAGGTCGGCGGGACACATGAGCTTCCATACCTCACTAGGAATGTGCGACTTTGTAGGGGTCTAGTCGATGGAAAATATACTTACTCGAAAAGGTCACTCTTAATGCGGACCAGGTCATCGTCCTCGAGCTCGGCATCGGAGAGAAAAGGCATCTTGAATGACAATTGTTTTTTGTTACGATTCCTGGAAGCGGTGTACGCGCGTGATGAAACACGGAGCGACGTTGTTGAATTTGACGGAGTCTTGATTCAAGAAGGCGCGAGGTGGAGCGAGTTGCGCGTCGAGCGGCGAGCAAATTGGAAAGTGAATAAAAAGAAAATACCCCAATATAATGCGGTTAGCAAGGCGACCCTTAAATCAACGTGATCGAGAATGCGCTGAATGTGACGGGTCTTGATTCTCAACCCGATAAAGCTGTTTGCTGTTAGTGAGGCGCGTCGTGAAGATTGCCGATAGTTTGTTGCGGTTCATAACGAGTGATGTAAACACTAGTGCGATCCATAGCGAGTGGAGAAATGCAGTGTACATCCACTAGCACATTCATCGTTTCTGGCCAATAGCAAGGTACGCTAGAGTACCGTGACCAATTGCAGCAGCCTGAGCTTGATGACCCTCCCGCCACATCTGCAGCTCTAGAGGCAGCCACATTAATCCGTCAATCAAGTGTGCACCGCCATACTTAGGTTGGTATTCCAGTCCTTCACTCACCAAGCTTCCGTCCCTTTCTCACTGCACAATCACCCACTGACTGCAACCTCTCACCGAGAACCGGCCCGTGACTTTCTTACTCCACCTCCATTTTCTTTTTTACTGTCGATACTGGCTCGGAATCAAGATGAGAGTTGTCAAGTCTCCGGCTAAGATGCGATGCCTTGAAAGTACCATTGCCTCAATCCAAAACCATTGAGGGACGGCTTACTACGAACAATGCGTAAATTCGCAGTTGATTCAGCCTTCTTACGTGGGGATTCCGCCGTTTATCTACTACCTTCCCGCTGGATCACTCCTAGTTCCGTTAATCCTGAAAGTTCAACACACCAGACTTCATCCAACGAGTCCTGCCAGAACTCCAAAGTTGCTCAAGTATCCCCGAGTTGGATAGGCGATCCTGAAATTGGCGGTAAATTCGACATCTCAAGTCACAGCTTTTGGTATTTCTAATCAGCCGTGTCGATCCCCGCTAAGCTCTAGAACTGCCTCTCGTGCACAGCTCAAGCTCGTTTGGACATCGCCGTTTGTATCGGTGTCGAGCTTGGTACACTCAGCAAAAGAGAAACAACTCAGATCGCATGCTCGTTCAGATGGCCACCCTATCACTCCGATCAACCACTCGGTACTGTCCATTCATTGATCGCTCCGCTTGGTCCAATCGAGACGCCATGACAATAATGTTACGCAAAAACGTCCCTCGGGATTCACCAGCACACTAAGCTGCATAGTCATGACACTCAAAAGGAAAGCACAGAGTGCAACATACCGAAAAGATCTCCCCAATGACATTGAGTAATGTTAAAAAGAGCAAGATTACACTGATTCCAATCCCATCGAAAGACCCAGTGAACTTCTTAAGTTGTACGTCTAAATGCTGTCCTTTCTTTCCACTTGTGACAGAGCTACGGATGGCTGACAAGAACACGGGCCTCAAGCATACAAGTACTGCATTTCATGTGGTCAGTACACAATTTCAAACAAATGAGCTCTTGATACCATGATCAATGGTGAGGATTACTGACCCTTCAGTCTGGCAGTCATTTGCTTGGCAATGAAGATGACCGGAGGCATGTTTGTGTTTGGGTAAGGTTTACTGAACCTTGATCTATAATACCATGAGCTGGCCATCATTTCAAGACTTATCAGTATCAGTTACACCTGAAGGACCATATAACAAGTTGCATATGCCTTGATCGGCTTCGTGCTGCTGTTGGTAATTTCATTTTCCAGAGACGACGTACATTTGGAACCGATAGGAAAGTAATGAACCACCGAAAACATCCTCCAGCTCATTGCCCGATCCATGGGCTTGATCTGTCTTCTCTTCGTGCTCTAGGCCGCCCTCGTTCAAACCATCACCATTAGCGTGTTTGATAGCAGTGATTTTCTACGTCGACACAGCCTTCAATGAGACCTACGGCTTCGAGTCATCGCGAGCCGGCCTCTGCTCTATCAGTGGCGTCATTGGTGCTCCCTTGGGCATACCCACTGGAGGCCAACTAGGCGACAAGATTACGGGACTGGTCCGCGAAGCGCAACGGCGGCGTTCACGATCCAGGGATGCGGCTTCCTGCTATGTTTCCTTCGCTTATCACCACTCCTCTGGCATTGGGTTTTTTTTATGAGGTAGGCATAGACCACAGGCTTCATTGGGTTGTTCCGGTTATTGGTATTGTTCCATTAAGTTTGTTTCAAATGGAGCGATCACCCAATATGACCATCGTGGTTCTTCGGTATTTTCGAAGAGCAAAAGAAATGTGATATTGATCTTCGAAATCGAGTTGCGCGCATAATGCTTTGGAAAGCAATGACTGTGCAGCTATAGGCTGCTGCTTTCAGCTCACTTTTAACAAATCGGAACCATTCCTGATCGGGTATGGTGTAGCGGTAACATCGTTGACTCTCACTTCTTAGGAGTGACTGCTCTCTCAACAGCCCCGGGTTCGACTCCCGGTATCCGAGTCACAATTTCTTTTTTTACTTTTCTCTCCTAGTTTGTTGTGAGAGTCTACACTATCTCTTTGCCCCCCCTTTCCTTTTGTGGAATATCATATGTATTTGGTGCATGCTGAGTGTGGTCCATCGATGTTTTCCATGAGCCACTGTCATCAGAGCACCATTCCTCCATCGATAATGGCGTTCACTCCTGTTACACTTTTGGACTTGACGAAACAGAGTACCTGCTCTGCAACATCCTATGTTGAGGGTCACAGGACATGTCAGAGAGGCGTGATAGTTGAGATGGGAGAAGGAATAACGTGCCTCTACTGTGGCTAAACGCTTGAGCTTTGATCTCTCCCTCGCTTCTTCCTGCTTTTCGGGTGGAAACTGAAGACCCCAGTCCTGTGAACATCAGCATGTGTTTCGGTGACCAAGTTTGGAGCCAGCTTACCGTAAGCATAAGGCCCGGAGATACAGTATTGACTCTGATTTTGGGTGCCGCAATCTGTGCCAATCCCTTGGCCAAATGTATTTGCGCTGCCTTGGTGACGGAGTAGGCCTGCAATAGGGAATGTTACTTCAAGGACTTTTCGTTAGGCAAGGGGACGGGCATCAAACAAGGTCAGTGCTTACAAGCGAACTCCCGCTAACTATGACACCTGCCAAACAAGCAGTGGTGATGAAGACACCTTCCGTTTGGTCCAGATACGGTTTCGCAGCGTGCATCAACCAGAGATGGGACTTGACGTTCATGTTGAAGCACGTATCCCAGTCTTCCTCGTTCACGTTGTCATCCAGATCGTTGATGTCTCGAAGACGGATCCATGCGCCATTGGAGAAGACAATGTCGAGTTTGCCCATGATAAATATAGTGTTGTCGACAAGTTGGCTGATCTGATCCTTTTCAGCCAAGTCAGCCTTGAGGGCAACGTAGTTGTCCTGGCGATCTGTGCTAGCTGCTGTTAGCGGGGAGATATTCGTGAGTTCTTCGACAAGTTCATAGGCCCTTTGGCCGTTGCTGTCGTAGCTGATGACTAGGCGGATGCCGTTCCGGGCAAAGAGACGGGCAGTGGCGGCGCCGAGACCAGCGCTGCCCGCGGTTATCAGGGCAACCAACGGAGGGGTCATTATTCCTTGAAAAGTTCGACGGGAGACAGGTTGACGGGGCTGCAAATTACAAAGATGAGATATTCACCCTAAGCTCAAGTATCAACAGCCCGTATACCCTCAGGCGTTAGGAGTTGGAAAATGGGAAAGTCTTGGGACGAGAGGGACATAAGCTTGACGACCTTATGGCCCACCACGAAGCACCTCATTGTTGGACCTTTTCAGGCCCGGCGGTAACGACTGCCGAGCTCGATGGAGCTCGGAAAGTGCCTCGCAACACTGAAAGATGGTCGGGCAAGAATCAGTGCTAGCTCGGGGCCAGAAACAAATCCCAATCCCAACTTGCAGGAGCACTTGGTGAGCAAACTTTAACAACTCCAGTCATGTCCAAGCAACCTGTGTACAACCTAGATGGTACTCTGTGCAGCTGCCTTTGCTTGTGACATCTAGACCTTTTGAAGTGAGAGCGCAACTACCTAGAGGTATGATTCCATCGAGCGGTTGCCGCTCTTGGTAGGCGCCACTACTATTCCGTATAACTACGCAACACAACTTGAACCCCCACTCCGGCACATAGTATGTATGATCCGACCCTGATCGCCCAATGTCTTCGGGAGAAACATGTGGCTCCCCACATTCCGCATCGCTAAATACCAGCTTTATATCTGATATCATCTGAGTTATTATGGGAGTCAGAAATCGAGTTCAGCCAACTCGGCACATTGACTGAGCATCATCTCTTATCCAGGTGCCATTACTTCCAATCACCTGGGACAATTACCTTTCCCGCTTCCCTTGCCCTTGGATCTACGGGCGTAATGACCTCCCTCTTTTTGGAGTCCTTCCTGAACGCACAGAAACCGCACAATGAAATATTCGGGCCAGTGCCGGATACATCCCGGTCACCGGAAGTAACGCCATGCCGTGGTCCCCTCAACCAACAAAGTTAATGTGCCATATAGATACGCAAGGCAACCTCGAGAAGGCGCCTGGACGGGATGGTCGAGCTCACCCTCCTGCATTAGACATTTCTTATTCGTTGTACGTTGCCTTACTAATCACTAACCTCCCTAATCACAACATTGACAAATGTGATAATGGTGCTGCTTCGAGACGCCGGCCATTACTTTACATTTAGTGAGTCTAGACTATGCTCAATTCCTTGTCCAATTACTTACACAAATAGGCCAAGGCCAAGGAGCTGGCCAGGCGATCAAGGACGTAGCAGCTCTGATCACAGTGCTTCCGAAAGGGACCACACCGGCTGATGTCTTTGAACGACTGAAGCTGTATGGGGGGATCGGAAATGAGCGAGCTCACACCAGACAAAACTATTCGAGGCTTACGGGCTCGAACTGAATCAACGAAAAACTACAAGTCGAAAGTGAGCTTTTATCATACCGTAGAACGCGGGAAAGCAGAGACTGACTGTTATCCTTGTGACCAAGTTGACAAATTACAGCTTCGGCCACAACGAGATCAACCATTCAAGAAACATCTTTCAACAAATGGCTGTGGCCTAGAAATTCCAACGCTTGCTGGCGGATGCCCGTCCGACTCCAGCCAGGGAGGAAAGAAAGACGAGGAAAGTGTTCTGTTTTACCGATACGTACCTGGCCTCGACAACCCCAGAAAATCGCTACCGAGTTTTCTTGCTTGATACCTAGACCACCTTGCATGGCCAGTGAGGATGCCGACTACTGTCGAGATTGACGGCCACAACTGGGGAAAGTTGCCTAGGATGAACCGTATAGGCAGCTTCGACGTTGGCCGAGGTTCCAATATACGAAAGAGTGAACGAAAAAATCGTAGCAAGGACGAAGATAGCGGATAGTAGTGCGCCTTGTGTCAGGCCCGCATAGGGGAACTTGTTTACTTGGCTCTTTGGCAGGTCGTTTGAGAGGCAGTGATATAAGGAAGGGGAAAAACATGGCGGGCTTTACGTGCTCCATGAAACTCGAGAAATACCAAAAAAGAGATCTGAGCCAGATTGCCGGCCGTCTTGAAGAGTCGATATTTTTGGTTAGGAGGAAAATGGAAAAAAAAGGCTGCAGTGTCTCAAGTCCTCTCGAGGGTCATGAGGTGTTGCTCCATGAAGACAAAAGTGGACCGGAGATGTTAGCTGACCCCCTGCAGTGGTGGTTTCAGCACCTGACAGAGCCCCCTGACAGCAGCTGACAGCACCCGAGTCCTTCCAACCCTGGGGTATAGGTGGGAGGGCGGTTAAGATAAGGTTTGGTGATAAAGACCAATTCATGGAATCGGGGGGAGGGGAACCGAGCGAACTAGAGGTACTACCTCTGCGGCGGGCGGAGAGGCTCGCGACGGAATCCTTCCACTGCCGCCTTGCTCCCGTCCCTTACCTCTCTACTACACGCGCTGAGGGACTGCACCCCGACTTTCCACTTGCAAATCGCCGCCGGCAAACGGACCATCTTCCTTGTGGGATTTGACGGTTCCGTGTTGTAGCCGGAGTCTGAAATAACGCCTTCCGTCGACTTCGCGACTTGCTTAGTTCTTTGCTCCCCAGAGTGAACCGTCGCACCATCTTTCTGAGATCGCCGTCGTCGTCGTCCGTCTTAGGTCCATTGATGAATGACGACGGAGTGGCTTGACCACCACCACCTTCCATCCGCCTCTCTACCTGCCAAAACAGCCATGCCTACCACCGTCACCGCCTCGGTCCCATAATTCCGTTTTCGCCTCTCGAGAAGGCCAATCGATAGGTTGTGGACATCCAAGAATCATTCCAGAAACGAACGCATTTGAATGGCTCTCTGTGTTGATTCCTGATCCCCCACCGCAGCCTTGTGTTCGCATCTCGCCTCGCCTCACACCACCGCAAGCGCCCCGAATATTCAACTTGGGCCTGGTGCCCTTTCTGCCTTTCCAAATACCACTAGTAATACTCTCAGCCAGCCCCGAATAGCCAGTTATTCACCTTTCAACACTGTACGATATACAGACTACCAAGCGACAACCCCTTGCCCAGCTATGGCTACCCGTGATGCTCCCGGTTCCTCCCGGGACGCAGTTATAAACATAAGCAGCGATTCAGAATCCGATTCGCCCTATGCCCGAAGCCGTCATCCTTCTGTTAGCGCACAGCGGCCAATATGCCAATGGCGGAACTCGACCTTCCACGATCAGGAATGCTCCCACTACTTTGACTGCCCTACCCACGTGGTGGAGCGAGTGATATCGGACGGCGAATCCCAAGGTGATGAGGAAGGTAGGGCACGCCCAGATCAACCAGACGAGTCCGACGGGGAACAACCACAACTTAGGGATGTGTCTCCTTTGAGCCAGAGCGAGGATGAGGGAGGTGTAGTTATGTCCAGCCCGAATGCTTCTCGGGGCGTTTCGCCTTTGCCTTCAAGCCCGGCAAGAGGCGGGTATGAGATAACCACGGCGGCGGGAACAAACCATCCTCCCGTACCGGGGGAACAACAGGGGGACGGCACATCTCCAGTCAACACCGAGAACTTACCTACAACACCGCTCACGGGGTCGGCCGAAAACCTAATTGCCCTCAATGATTCCCCAGTGCAAACAAGAGGCCAGCCACAGCTTGGATATTTTGCACAGCATGCTACAAGTACCGGTGAGTATGGATCAGGGACGGTAACCACGCCGAGCCCTGGACCCTCGCGTGGTGGTGTACCTTCGAGACTGCGCGAAGTATTCGAAAGCCCACCAACTCCCACCACAGATCTTTCACCGAGGTTGGTGCGAGGCCTGTCTCAACAACCTCCTCCGGCACAGCGCAGGGTATTGGAGGAGATAGTGCTGCCACGGTGGCAGCCAGACGCCGAGGTGACTTATTGCCCCATTTGCCACACCCAGTTTAGCATATTCGTTAGAAAGCATCATTGCAGGTATGTTGTTGAACTGGCCTTGACATCAAAAACTAGCTACTTACCTCTGTCCAGAAAATGCGGGCGTGTGGTGTGCAATTCGTGCTCGCCCCATAGAATCACAATTCCGTACCAGTATATCGTACAGCCGGCCGGCACGCCCCGTTTAGCTCCGAGATACGCGGGCTCGTTTTTGGGTGGAGACCCGCGATCCCCGAACTTCAGTGTCCTCGGCGGCGGCGAACGGGTCAGGTTATGCAACCCCTGTGTTCCAGATCCCAACACGGCTCCGCCGCAAACGCAAGCCCAGGGGTCAAACCATTCGCGGTCTCACGGCAATGTCGCCCGTGGATCTGAGGGCGGTGGTGGTGAAGCCACCTCGCCCGACTACAGTAACAGATGGAGCTCGTATTTCGGGCCGTCGCCCTCATCCGATGGACAGTTCAGAAATAGAAGTGTAACTCTGGTTCGTGAGACTGTGATTTTCATGACTATCTATTTCCCTCAACCTGTTTTTCTGAAGATTGAGACCTAACGAGCGTTGCCCCATAGCAACCCACCGTCACGACGTTGCCATCTGGATCTAACAACATATTTATCTCCACTGCCCCGATGGAGAGCCGTATCATGTCTGGTACCCCGCCGGTATACTACCAGTCCGGCTCCTCTTCCCATTCTCACCCGTATCGTGGGCTCACATCTCAACAACGGTACCGGTCTCTACTTGATATTGGTGAGCGGCCTGGACCTTCAGCTGGACCGTCTTCATCGTCCAGTCCCGATATCAACCGCCGTTTACCTCCAACTCCACGATCACACAGCCGCCACCATCAACATCATCATCATCATCACCAACAACAACACATCATTCCCGAGGAAGATGAGTGTCCGGTCTGCCATAGGGAGCTTCCATCACGCAATCTTCCCAACTTTGAAACTCTGCGCGAATCCCACATAAACCAATGTATAGCCACGCACAGCGCGTATAACGGCAGTGCCCGCCCAGCAGTGACTGACGAGAACGGAGAGGGAAGCAGCGGAGTCAATACTTCTTCACTACCACCAGCGCCGCCACGGCGGACCGGCATGTTTCCATACACGGCGACGGAGAAAGACTGCGTGGACTCGGCGGAATGCACGATTTGTCTGGAGGAGTTTGAGCCTGGGGTGGCCATGGCTAGGTTGGAGTGTCTGTGCAGGTTTCACAGAGCGTGTATAAGTGCGTGGTGGGAGAGACATCCGGGCAGGTGTCCTATGCATCAACATGATGGGTTTGGATATTGAAGGGCATTAGGGTAAAGGGCGAAATGAGTCTGATCATTGGGGTCTGGTGGTGCTGTCTGGAGTCATGTTTCCTTTTTTAGTGGGATCTTTTCCTGGGTCCATTCATTGCATGTTGTTTCTCTCTCTTTCATCGCATGGCGGTTGTCTTGTTGGGGTTGACAAATCATCAAGATAGTACGGACGTGATTCTTAACCGGGCAAGTTCCTGACTCAAGTAACTTACTCTAGGCTGGAAGGACCACACAGCGAAACTGCGTGTCGGATAGAAGTAATGTACGTCAGGCACTGGGGTTGATACTATTTGTGTTAATCAGGTTTTGGGCTCACTATGCCGTGATTCTCCTCAGCTGGAACGTCGACAAATATGAGTGGAAACTGCGTGATAAAGAATACATGGGGCTTTGCCCCTATGTTTACATGACCCTGGCTCCCTGAACTGTCCGCTCCGCTCCGTTGCTGACACCCAAGTTGATCAAGTGGTACATAATTGTGAGACTCTTCTGTGTCTTTCCCTGAGACCATCATGTGGAAACAGTTAAGCAGCGCCCTCAATACCCATCTGATCAGGGCCAAACGACAATGGGAGAAGCTAGGTATCAAAAAAAATGTCAGGAAACCCCTTTTGAACTCTCGCGAGACGCCAAAGGTCAAAGGACAAGCAAGGACGAAAAGGTAATAACTCACATCTTCAAGCCGCAAAACACTGAAATTCTCATCTTTATCAAACATGAGAATAGGCATGCTCAATTCGCAAAACTCGCGGATACTATACGCATATTTGCAAAAGCCCGGTCAGTCTCAAACAAACAGAAGAAAAGAAAAAGAGGAAACGCCAAAAGGGCGTAGCTAGCTGTATGGATATCATGGGAACTCACAACTGCCTACACATGCCACAAGGACTAGCAGCCGGGCTAATATCCGTCGCCACTGCCACCGCCTTGAACCCGCGGTGTCCCTCGGTAATCGCCCTACCGAAGGCTACCCGCTCCGCGCACGTGGTCACGGGGTAGCTGGCGTTCTCCACGTTGGCTCCCGGCGTGTATGTTCCCTCTGATGATGATGATGACCTCTCTCCCGTGACGGCGGCGTTGTTAACCTTGCCGGTGGACAGCAAAACGGCGCCGACCCGGAACTTGCTGTAGGGACTGTACGAGGTGGCCTTGGCGGCTACGGCGCGGTCGCGCAGCTGGGCGAATTCGGAGGGGGTTAGGTTGTAGGTTTGGCAGGTTTGGGCGATGACGGTTTCAGAGTGGCCGTTGAGGATGGGTGGTGCTGGGGGCGCCATGGTGGTGGTGGTGGTGGTGGTGGTGAATGTGACCTAGTGGTTATGGGGTTGGGGATGCCTTCTATTTTGTGTGTGTGAAGAATGACTGGATGGTGGAAGATGCTGAATAATGAGAATTTGAGAAGAGAATGAGCACTAGTGTGTTGTAGTCGTCACCAAGTCGGTAGGTACTAGGCATAAATTTTGTTTCGAGTTGAAGACTGGAATAGTGTATTATACAAACTCCCGCGCCTCATCCCTCCTCCCTTTTCCGTCCAGATTCTCCAGGGTCTTTCATTGTTTAGTACGTACCTCCGTTCCCCAGACCATTCTTTAGCCTGCCCAGGGGTGATGTCGGCCAAAAGACAGCGCATCCGACCGACTACCAGCGAGTGGTGACAACGGGGCGTGCCGAGTAGCGGTCCCCGGAGAGCGGAGAAAGAGCGGAAGCTAGCGGGACGGCTACCCCGCCACCCCGCCCTCTTCGTTATCTTATCTCTTAGACCTTCTTGCTTTGCCCTGCAAGCCCCTGTAACATCGGCGGTCCCTTGCCTATTATGGGAACCGACTTATCTCTCAACTCAAAACCGCGGGTCATGAGGTCACTATCAAGAAAAGAGTCGGTCACCATTTCGGCATACCGCTTCCGGTGTATAGTTGAATATGTCCTGGTCAAACAATGGGCAACCAGTAATTATTCTGTAACAGGACGTGGCTCTTCTTTTTCCTTTTCTTTTTGTCGCCGGTTGAAGATGAGTGTTTTGGGAATCAAGATTGGGGACAGGATAGAAAATTGGCTGTATTTCCGATGTCGAGGTTATCCGAGATGTTGATATCGAGATAGGCTACCAACACCAGATATAGTCTAATCTTGGCCTCTTTGTCAGCTCGAGACCTCTGGTCAAGTTCCCTACTTGTAGGCCTTTCATACCTATCAATACGTGTCGTTCCATATTCAAGAGCTAACCTATCTTGGCTCGCCTGGATATCCCAACTGCTACCCTAGATATGTGATGTCAAAATTCATGAGTCCGTTTCCGATCAGTTATTTCTGAAGCATATCCTATCCATACCTAATGACCTCAATGCGTCCTCATGATGTTTGGGGCAATATGGGGACTAAGTTGCGATCAACAAACCGGCATTAGATTGTGCAGACCGATTCATTCACTGACAACAACTGCAAGTTTGTGAGTGTCTGGTCCAGACATAAAGCGTCAAATCTCAAACAATGTATCTATTTTTTCAGTATATCAATACGGTGAGTCTGTCTGCTCTCAAACCTCTCAAGGGATATATGTCCCGCAGGCGCAGTACTTTTCAATTCCCAAATTCCAACATCCACGGTTTTCGTCCGTTCCTTTGTTCGTTTGTTCGTTGCCATAAATCCTTCCCTTCCATCCTCCCCTGGACTTTTTATTTCCCAAAAACAATATCCTTCAACTTCTCCTTCTCACCACTCTCTTCACACATCCCCCTAAACACTCCACTCCCACCATCCTTCTCCCACAGCTCCCTCGGCGTCCCAAACTCGGCAACCTTGCCGTCGCTCAGCACCAAAATGCGATCGAAATCAGCAATCGTGCTCAAACGGTGAGCGATAACGAGCAGCGTTGCATCAGTAAACTCCTCGCGAATAGACCGCTGGATCAACGCATCCGTGTGCATATCCACCGCCGAGGTGGCCTCGTCCAGGACCATAACTCTCGGCCTCGAGACGATAGCGCGCGCAAGGCAGAGGAGCTGGCGCTGGCCCTGAGACAAGTTGAGACCGCCTTCGGAGATCTGGGAATCCAGGTTCTGGAAGATGTTGGTGTTCTTGTTCTGGATGCCTCCGGTGGCCGAAGACGATGAGGCCTCTGGTGCGGGGGTGGCGCTCCCGGAGTTGGAATTACTGTCGCCGACGAGGTGAACGCGCTCGAGGGACTCGCGCAGCTCGGCATCGGTCTGGTGGTTGAACGGGTCGAGGTTGGAGCGTACGGTGCCGGAGAAGAGGACGGGGTCCTGCGGGATGATGGCCAGGCGAGAGCGCAGGTCGTGAAGCTTGATGGTGGAGATATCGATGCCATCGATATGAATGCTGCCGGAGCTAGCCTCGATGAAGCGGAAGAGGGCAAGGGTGAGCGAGGATTTTCCGGCGCCGGTGCGGCCAACGACGCCGATGCGCTCATTGCGGTTAATGCTGAAGCTAACGCCCTTGAGGACAGGAGGGAGGTCGGGGGCGTAGCTGACGACGAGGTCCTTGACTTCGATGCGGCCGTCGGTGGGCCACGCGGCGGGCGGGCTGATGCCTTCGAGGGACTCGGTAGGAAGGGAGGCGTACTAGACAGGATTTGTTAGTAAAAAGAGCGGGGGTCAGGTGGAAGACAATAGTTCAAAACCTACCTCAACAATTCTCTCGGCGGCATTCATGTTCAGCTCAACGTTGGCATACAGACGAATCGTCCACATGACGCAGTTGGAGAACTCTAGAGCGAAAGCGAGTGCGAAGCCAGCCAGAGCCGAGTCGATGCCAGGGGTGACCAAAATGAGGATCGCGACGAAGGAGGCAAAAAAAGAGCCCACAAGCGACATTCTCCAGCCCATCCATCTGTTGAAAAGCCAGAGATGCCATGTCGCCATGGAATACTCATCCACCTTGCGATACATGCGCTTGATATAACCCTCTGACTTGTCGAAACCGCGAATGGTGGCGACGCCAGAGAGAGCGGAGCCGAACTGCTCGAACACGGGTGACTTGGTAGTGCTTTCCAGCCGCTTCACCGGACGAGCGCCGTCGAGATACCGGATCGCATAGTAGAGGCAGATGAACAACAGGATACCAGCAAGCAGGACAATGTACGGGGAGACAAAGAGGCCTGCAACAATGACACCAAGCAGGTTCAAAAAAGAATTCATACCAAAGCTGACCGAGTTGGCCATTTGCGAGTCGATAATGTTAAAGTCTGACGTGAAGCGATTCAAAATGCGCCCGACAGGAACGGTATCAAGCCAGCGAATGGGGGCGCGAAGGATGGTGAAGTTAAGTTTCTGGAACAGGCCCCTGCTTGCGCGGATGGAGCCAATGTAGACGTAGAGGAACTTGAGTGTACCGACGATGGATGAGATGAGGGCCAGAAGTACGTAGATGCTGAGGTAGTATGTGAGGCTGTTATGGCTGGTGATGGATGGAGCAGCCATCGTGTGGAAAGACGTCTGCTGAATGCCGGTGCCATAGGCAAAGCCTTGCTCGATCGTACCACTGGGGAAATGCTGACTGTCAAAAGCTTGCTCATCGGAATCCGCTGTCCAAATTTTGAGCCACCATGATCGCCCAATACTGAACGCCTGGACGACAACGAAAATCATGAGAGCGATGGTCCAGTAACTCCAACCTCCACTGGCCAGCAGATATTGGTAATAAATCTGCTTTTTGACAGCTCCCTTCTCGCGTCCCTCGTCCTCAACAAACTTGCGAGCGGCAGTCTTAGAGTTGACCTTCTTCAAAGCGTTAGCATCTGCCTCGGCCTGTTGTCCATCGCCATCAACAGAATCATCCGAATTCACAGCAGTGTCGGCTTGTTCGTCGGCTTCAATTTCCTCGGGAGATTCTTCAAGACGCTTGATCTGGTCCAAAGTCCCTGCTTCGCGCAGCTTGTCAACCGAACCGGCCTCCAACACACGGCCATCACCAAGCTCCACGAGGTACTTGGTCTTGGGCTCGCAGAGGGCAACATGGTGGGTAACGAGAATTCGTGTGCGGCCAGTGGCCAGAACACCGTTAAGGCACTTGTCAAAGATGTGGCGGCCGACGTGAGCATCCACGGCCGAGAAGATATCGTCAAGGACAAGAATACCGGCGCGGGAATAGATGGCTCTAGCCAGTGTGATGCGCCATTTCTGGCCACCGCTTAGGTTGATACCGTTTTGGCCGATTTCCGTATTTTCGCCATCGGAGAGCATTTGCAAATCCTTTTTCAGTGCGCAAACTTCAATGGTCTTCTTGTAGCGTTCTTCGTCAAAAGGCAGTCCAAAGAGGATATTCTCCTTGATGGTTGCGTTCTCGATCCAGGGAATCTGGGCTACGTAGGCGATGGCCGAAGGGATGATCCAGTTGTCCTTGTTGGCCTTGTCATCGTGGCGATCAGCCAGTGAAGGGGCCTTGGGTATAAACAATTTGCCCTCAAGGACATCAACCTCGCCAAGAATAGCGGACAGCATTAAGCTCTTTCCTGTTCCTGTTTTGCCGGAGATGACCGATAGCTCCCCTTTCGGGAATGTGACACTGATATTGCGAAGGACGAATCTGTCCTCCTCTTTGATATCCTCATCCGAAGGCCAGGCAATGGAAGCGTTTTGGAACGAGACCTCTTCAGCATCCTCCGAGACGACCGTCACCTCGGAAGAGTCCAGATATTCCTGCATACGCTTGATCGAAATCCACGCATCCAGCAGATCAGTTGTAAGCTCAGGAATCACCGACAGCGTCACTTCGAGACCTCTAAAGACACCAAGACTGACAAAGGCAACAGATGGTGTAAGCACACCGTTCAAAGCGGCGTAGACAGCCAAAGATATAGCCGAAAGCAAGATAGGACTCGTGACCCAACAGGCAAGGAGGGCTGTGTCGGCCATGAACACACTCCAGACCGCACCAAGTTCCCTGTCTCGGACTGAGCCAATCTTGCCTTCCCACTCTGGCTCCAGAGCAGAGAACTTGATCTGTCTGATACCCTGGAGGGCTTCGGTAACGACCGCCATCTTCTCGTCTCTGACCTTCATCAGTTTATCCTGAGCGGCGGCATATTTCTTGGAGAAGTGGACGTTCACTGGCATAATGGCAAGCATGGCGGAGAAGCCCGCCAGAAGAGCCTTCCAGCCCAGGAGGTGGGTTAAGAAGGTCAGTGAAACAATGAGCTTGAAGAGACTGCCAGGGAACATGTTTTGGTAGGTAGAAAAATCCGAGACACGCTTCGCATCAACGCCAATCAGATTCACCGTGTTCTGCTTGCCCTTCTTAAGCTCATCAGAATCATCCTCGGCCTCGGCCTCTGGCTCGGCTGGCGGCGCATCGGCTGGTGTTCCCTCTCCTGTTGGCCCAACGACAGGAGGCTCGCCTGACTCAGTGGTCTTCTCCTTTTCCTTGGCCTTTCCGGCACCCTTGACGTCCTTCTTCCGCATTGACTTTTCAAAGATGAGTGCAGAGAGTTGAGCGCGAATGGGGATGGCAAGTTCAGACCACGAAAGCCAGAACACATAGGCTTCCACCCATGACTGGGCAATCATGGCCACGCCGAGGAAGAAAACCCAGTACCAGACACCGAACCCGTAGCTGCTGCCAACCTGGGGATTCTCCAAGATACGCAAGAGTTGCAGAATCACCCACTGGGGGGAGAAGTTTAAAAAGGCCGTGCAGAGCGTCAAAGCCCACTGCAATGAGAACGCCTTCTTGTGGGCAAGAATCACGGACAGCCAAAGGTTATGGCGGTAGTTGCGTCGCTTCCAATCGGCTGAAGTGTCTGCAGCTCGGCAAAAATGATCAGGCCTGTTGAGGTCGGTCAAGTCGAGATCTTTCTTTTTAACAGCAAGATCCAGGAGCTTGCTGGGCCAGGCATATGTAAAGCGGCTGATAGCTGACACGGTATACATCCTATCAACCGGCTCTCCATCGATATAGACGTCGGGTCTCCTTGGAATGGACAAACTGGAAACCGCAAGGGTTCCGGCCAGTGCCAGCTCGACGGCACGGAGGACAAACAGGGTGCGATTGTGATCCCAGAGAGATTCTGAAGCATCAGCACCCTGGATAAACAGAATGGCACTCAGCACTGCGGAGGACAAAAACGCGTAAATGCCGAGATCAAAGGCCTGCACCGACTTTCTGCAAGAGGCTATTGTGATAGCCTGGAACAGTAGTAGGGCCTACAACCCAAAGTCAGCTATCTTGGGCAAAAAAAAACTAAACAAAATCAGGAAGGATAAGACTGTACCCATGCTCCAATAGACAGCCAGTCGTTCACCGAACTGGCCTTTTTACTTGTCGACAACAGTGCAATGGCGATAGAGAGGGCAAGACCAGCGGCGGCAGAGAGCAAGATCACCGTCTTTGGGATCTTGGCCGAGTAGGCTCTTTGCGACTCGACGGTCGCCTTTCCGTCGGCATCTTCATAGAGGACTTCTTGTCGTGCCTCGCGCTTTCTAAATCGTTGGACGAACCCGGACACAGCAGGCAAGGAGCCGAGGCCAACGAGGGCAAGGCCGGTCACGACCGCTGCAAAACGGGATTCATTGCGTGACATGGCCACTTAGATCTTGTGGCCTTGTACAAGATCACGCCAAACTTCGGTAACGCGTCTGGTTGGCGACACGGTCAACAGGCTTTTTGACCGGATCTCGAGCGCGTTGTGTCTCGCGCCAGCGCCCCTCGCTTTCTTTGTTGTCGGGGAGAAAGAAGAACCGACAACCAGACTGGCAAGATGTTGGCGAAGGAAGGAGGGTTGGGACCTGAGCTCAGCGTTGAGGTATTCTCAACCATCCACCAGAGCTGGGTAAGGGGAGGAAAGGAAACGAAAAAGAACACAGAAAGGGAGAAGAGGATACTCAAAAAACACCAAGAAAAAAAAGAAAAAGAGGGCGGTCAGCTACTTAGATACTTCTTGCCTATCTAGACGGACACCTCTCTGACGAGGGAGGGGTGTGGTTAAAAAAAAAGTTGAAAGCGGCCAATCCTCCAATTGACGCTCCTCGATTGGCCCAATCTGCTACTTATCAATAATACAGGGGTTCCACCCAGACCCAGAAGGCCGGAGGATTCGGGTTTTGAGGTTGCCGTCTGCTTGTGTAAGCCAGCAAAGACAGCTAACGCCACACAAGCGCTAACCCATCGATACAAAGCTAACTAAGCACCTAAGGTATGCACAAACTCAAGAACCCCGACTTTTGTACGTTCATCAGACAGGAGTTGGCTGGCGTCCTGTCAGCATAAGGGTCTTTTGGACATATCGAGACACACCCTTCCGTTCTGAATGCAACGAACCCCGCAGTGTGCTGGATGTAAGATGATCGTGCAACGGTAGCCAACAGCATTGGGTTCATCCGTCGCCGTTCGGGTGGGAGATGGAAAAGAGATTGTTGTCTTGACTCACATGGCGAACTTGTCGAGAGCCTGGGCTGAAGGGGGGGGGGGGGGGGGGGGGGGGG